ATGCTTGTGACACGTCGGATAAGTCATAACAAGTATATGAATCTTCTTCACTATTACTAATAGTATGGCGTGACTTTGAAATAAACGGAATTCGATTTATCTTTTTTTTTTCTTAATTATTTCTTGTTTTTTTTTTCATTAGTGGAAATGTATTTATTAATAATAAGACTTTCTTTTATTAATGAAAGAAAAATTTCTGTATTCATTTTCAAAATATTAATGCTATATAAAAAGATATCCCGCTATATTCTTTGAATGAAAAATTTCAAAAAAAGGGGTAATTTACAAATTCTTCGAGCATTTTGTCTTTTTAATACTTTCCATTTTTCGAATATTTGAACATTCAAATTTGTTTTTTTAACACTACTAAAATTATTTATTCTTGGAGTTCCTTTTTCGTTCTCTTTTGAGATTCTTTCTATTTGAATTTGATTTCGAATTGTATTTGTTTGATCCTTGATTTTTTTTAGCAATAAAGAATTTATCGAAGGTGCAATTTGATTAAACGATTCATGAGTTATCTGATTGCTGATTAGGGAAGCCTTTTTTTCCTTCAATTTGCTCAATTCAACTTTTTCAACTTTTTTTACAACTTTTACAACTTTTACAACTTTTCTTAATCGAAATAATATTCTTAATCGAAATAATATTGGTTTTAAAAGTGCTTTTATTTTTCTTTTGAAAACTCTTCGAACTAGAAAATACCGCTCTTTCAATTTGCTTTTAAATATGTCAAAAATGGGTTGAAAAAAGGAATCCGTTGCTCGGGGCCAACCAAAAGGAAAGTCAGTTTCCTTTCCAAAAATTGTTAAATAACAAATTTTTTCTCTGTCATGGCTCGGCAATCCTGTGTTCCAAGGTCGCAAACGGAAAGGCCTAATTATTTGTATCTGAATACCATCTGAAAAAGAAGGTAGGAAAAGTCTCGCATCGTCTATTGGAAGACCGTAAAAAGTACAGAAAACATATTTCTCCTTTTCGAGTTCCTCGAAATCCTCAGACAACTCAGAAGGTTGAAATAGGAGTAAACGTGCAAAATTTTTCGCAATTATGAGTAAAGGTATTCCAAACGCTCTAAAAAGACATTGAAAACATAACAAGACACCTCTTATTCGCATTCCATGTGGAATGAAATCCCAGGAGTCTACTGTGCGCATTCGCCTGTCCTCCGTGGTCGCTTCTGTTTCTCCTATTTTTTCCTAGATCTTCTTAATCTCTTCATTTTCGTCCTCCCCCTTTTTACTTAAAAGTCGTTCAATTATCTTTTCCTTTTTCTCCTTTACCTTCGACCAAATTTCACGCCAATTTAAGTTAGAGAGTTCTTCATAAATTATAGTGAAGATATCTCCAGTAGCCACAGAAAAAAAAGTTCTTGCTTGGTGATAAAAAAGCGGGGTATATGGGTATTTGTAATATAGTGGTAAAGCTGCCACTTTACGTTTGAGAGTTCGCATAGAACCTTTGATTAACGCTTGCTCCCAGTTTGGTACCCTGTCATAGCGTATAAAATCTATTTCCTCTCTCTCTTCTAGCTTAGGATTCGTAAAATCGTTGTAAATAACAAATTCTATGTCACCCCCAGCTCCTCTTGTAGTAATATCAGAAGTCTCTCGCTTCTTCTCGTCAATGTTCTCGGCTGTTATTGCAAGTTCTAGGTCGTCAAATAATAGGTATAACCACCGAAAGACTTTTTTCTGGAGTTCTTTTATTCTAGTAGATTTGATGAGATTGTTTTGATCAATAACATCAGTTGCAACTTTTTT